CCGAGCCGGGTTTCAGCACCACGACTGCGCACCATGTGAACAGGAATCCCGCCCACTCTCCAAATATTTTAGACAGATAGACTTGGGCACCGCCATTAAGTGGTATGGCGCCTCCGAGCTCGGCGTAACTCGCGGCACCCGTCCATGCCAGTATTCCAGCGACGATCCAGACTATGAGAGACGCGCCTGGCGACCCAGCATTTTTGTTGACCTGAGATGGCGAAGAGAAGATGCCACTCCCTATTATAAGCCCAACGACTAATGACAGGCCATTGAGGTATGTCAGGCTCTTGTTCTTCTCCAATGAGCCGCCGTTAAGCGCATTCGACGGGTCTAATGCTGGATTGGAAGGCGCGCCCAGTGCTGTATATCCCTGCGCGGTGCTAGAGAGAGGGAATAGGTTCGGTGCGAAATCGAAGGCGGAGGACACGCTGTAGGAGCGATTGTGCCGTGGTCTGTTCGGATCGTGACCAGCCGGATTCAGTTCTGACAGAGGGTCTTCATCATCGAACGACAGTCTACGTGAGGAAGGCGCGCCTGAGGCCGAAGAGTCTTCGGAAGTCCGCCGGGAAGGATGCGACGAGGACGCCAGCGAGGCGAGTTCGAGGGAATCGCGAGTCGGCGGTGGGAGGTTGGAGTAGCGACCGGCGGCCATGATGCGGAGGGGATGTGGGAGAGATGCGCGCAACCCTATCTGCTAGCCATGGACGGTAATTATAATATAAAGCGCGAGGTATGTGTAGGGGCAGTATCCAGCACCCCTTTCAAGCATTCACCGCTGCCGTGTATGAGTGGTGCAGCTTGCATGCGCTGTTGAAACCGACGGGCTCCTATGCCGTCATGGGACTAGCTCCCGTTTGAGCGCTAGAGCTGCATCCAAAAAATGTGGGAGTCGTTCAGGACTGGATGCTTGGCGTAGATCCGCGCATCCTCCAGACCATGAATACGACACGTCCACGCCATGCGCATACGCCCAGGTGATGCGTCGTCTCAGTCTGCAGTCCGTAGGCTGGCTGCGCCCTCCACGCCTCACAGTCCTCCGACCACGCATAGCCCTACGATGGGCGAGTACGCTGGAGAGAAAGTCAAGAGCTGAGGGAATCAAGGTCGAATCGCTCACTGCGAAATGGCAACCCCATTGGGACCAGCTATCTGCCCAATGGCACGACCTACGGAAGTCCGATAGGGGAGACGCATATGTGCTGCCCATGTTCCCATACCCCTCCGGCACCCTCCATCTAGGCCACCTGCGGGTATACACGATATCCGATGTTCTCTCCAGATACAAGCACATGCAGGGCTACAAGGTCCTACACCCCATAGGCTGGGATGCGTTTGGTCTACCAGCTGAGAACGCAGCCATCGAGCGAGGGGTACACCCGGAGAAGTGGACGCTACAGAACATCGAGACGATGAAGAGTCAGATGAAGGAAATGGGTGGTCGCTGGGACTGGGACGCTGTATGGAAACCGTTCAGGATGTTTAGGCATGGGCTGATCTCTGTATGTAGGAAATACGAACGTGCGATCCCCATTTCTACAAGCACACCCAGCGCATCTTCCTCATGCTCCATGAGCGCGGCCTAGCCTACCAAGCGAAATCTCTCGTGAACTACGATCCCGTCGATAAAACCGTCCTCGCAAACGAACAAGTAGATGCCAATGGCTGCTCCTGGCGCTCCGGTGCAAAGGTCGAGAAGGTGATGCTGAAGCAATGGTTTCTGAAAATCAAGGAGTTCCAAGAACCCTTGCTAAAGGACCTGGACGCTCTTGCGCGAGACGGCAGGTGGCCTGAGAAGGTTCTTGCCATGCAGAGGAACTGGATCGGCAAGTCTGAAGGCGCGCAACTTTGGTTTGATATCGTCTCGACCGATAGTGAAATGCGCTTTGAGCCTGTCGATGTCTTTACTACCAGGGCTGACACGCTGTTTGGAGTACAGTATATCGCTCTTTCTTTGCGTCACCCGATTGTCCAGCAGTTAGCCATCGAAGATAAAGAGCTTCGCGCCTTCATGGAGCGAGCAAAGGACCTTCCCTCGGACACCAAGGAAGGGTTCAAGCTGAGGAATATTGTAGCGCGCAACCCCCTCGCCCATGTTCAAGGCTCTACAGGACCCTCTGTACCTGTATATGTGGCTCCATACGTTTTGGACGACTATGGCTCTGGCGCTGTAATGGGTGTACCAGGTCACGACACCCGAGACCATGCGTTTTGGCGAAAGAACGTCGGTGATGAGCCAGTCAGAGTCGTCGTATCTGCCAAGAAAGGCTCACTACCTTTGCCGCTTGTGCCGCGCAGTGGTGAGGACGTACCCATGACCGAAAAAGGCTTTGTTGCTGCAGACATAGATCACTTCGGGGGCATGACCTCAAAGCAAGCCGCGAATGCGGTTGTACAAGCGATTCTCGAAACTGGAAAGCCGGCTGAGAAGAAAGCAAACTGGCGACTCCGTGATTGGCTGATAAGTCGACAGCGCTACTGGGGTGCGCCTATTCCAATTATCCACTGCAAATCTTGTGGTGCTGTTCCTGTGCCCGAGGCAGACCTTCCGGTTGAGCTACCGAACCTACCCGACAGCTTCTTCGAGGGCCGCAAAGGTAACCCGTTAGCAGAAGATGAGAACTGGAAGAAGACCACTTGTCCGAAGTGCGGCTCGCCTGCTGAGCGCGAGACTGATACTATGGATACCTTTATGGACTCGTCGTGGTACTTCTTTAGGTTCCTAGATCCGAAAAACGAGCAGGCCTTGGTCGACCCGACAAAGACCAATACTGGCATGCCAGTGGACCTCTATGTCGGCGGCGTAGAACACGCAATTCTCCATCTTTTATACGCGCGCTTCATCTCCAAGTTTCTGGCAACCACTCCAACATGGCCAAAGGGTCACCTGACGAATGGCGAGCCTTTCACGCGTCTCATCACGCAAGGTATGGTTCATGGAGAGACGTTTACAGACCCCGAAAATGGTCGCTTCCTACGCCCCGATGAAGTCGACTTGATCAATCCTTCCAAGCCTATCATTAAGGCCAGTGGAGTCACTCCGAACGTTAGTTTCGAGAAGATGTCGAAGAGCAAGTACAATGGAGTGGATCCAGGTGCCACGATTGCCAAGTATGGCGCAGACGCCACGCGCGCGCACATGCTGTTCCAAGCACCTGTCAGTGATGTGCTTGAGTGGGATGAGAAAAAGATCACTGGCGTACAACGATGGTTACATCGAGTCATCAAGCTGTCGACCGCACCATGGATACCGGATGATGTGATAGACGAGTTCGTTATACCCACACAGGTTGACAGGAAGCTCCTCAGTATCCTACAAGATGCTTCGACAAGCGGCGAATCTGAGAGCGCCACACGCGAAACCTTGGTGTCCACCCTAAAATCAGATGAGGCTCAGCTTTGGATCAAGACACAAGAAATCATCGCCAGTGTCACGGAATCGTACTCGCAAACACACTCTCTCAACACCGTCGTCAGCGATCTAATGACACTGACAAACACTATCTGGGACACGCCGCATGCGTCTCCGGTCACACCAACCCTAAAATGGTACTCCATGGCCCACCTCGTTCGCATGCTCGCCCCAATCGCTCCTGGTGTCGCCGAGGAAGCCTGGCACCAACTGAACACTTGCACTGCGACTCAGACGAACGACCGCAGCAACTCAACAGTCTTCGCAACAGGCTTCCCAACCGCAGATCTCGCCATCATACCGCTCCTCACCACAACGCGCAAATGCGTAGTCCAGATCGACGGCAAACGCAAGTTCGACGTGGATATCCAAAAACTCCCCGATTCGGTCAACCCCAAAGATATTCAAGCTGTAACCAAGTTTGTGCTGGGTGAGTTGGTAAAGACTCTAGAAGGGAGGGAATGGTTCGATAGGCGGACAGGAAAGATCTGGAAATTGAGTGCGACGGAGAAAGAGAGTGAGGAGTTTGGTGTCGTTCCGGCGGGGTGGAAGGTCATTGCTGTTAACGGCGGTGCGCTATGTAATTTTGTTGGGCCGAAGAAGCCTAAGTTGGAGAAGGGTCGATGAACATATGTATAAATACAATCTCACATCTCTTCAAATTGCCGCTTATGAAGGAGCCTGTTGTCTTAAGCTGTGGTTCAACTTCTAGGTCGCTGGTCACGACTCATGAGGGAGCCTAGCTATAAGCTATGATCCTTTTACTGGGTTGCCGAATACAAAGGAGCTCGTTATACTATGCTGCTCTTCATCGCCTAGCTGGCTGACTACAAAAGAACCTGTTGTTATCAAGCTGTTGCTCACGTCCTGGGTAGCTGGATACGTGATCTTGCGTCCAATGAGTCTACCATCGGGGCAAATCGCGGATACCTCCAGGCGTGGCTTTCGCTGAGTAACGCGCAACAAGACGCGACGATGTATGCTGCAGTCAGAGACAAACTCATGGTGTTCTTGCACCGTCTGATGGTGGCCGCGCGCTCTCACCGCGACGCCATGGCAACGAGCGTTTGCGCGTTTGCTCTCACCACGCGCTCCCTCACAACACAACAGCGCGAACTCAGATCTCTGTAGAGCTCAATTTGACTGTCCTATATATTGTAATTAATTCAGCCAATTCTCATATAGCAAAGACCTGCAGGTTCGAGTGGAGTGATACGTGTCTTTACATCTTGAAACAAGCCATAACATCCTTCCGAAGTATTGTTATATTTTTGCCTTTTGTTCGAACTCAGCTTGTAACAATCTTTAATATATGAACTTCTAGCATCTTTTTTGCGCGGAGGTGCGGTGACTACGGAGCAGTGGAAGTGAAGGTGAAGACGCGTTTGAGATCGCGTGCTACGCAAAGTGACAGTGACCGAGGAATTATCCGCGGTGAAGGCCTGTTTGCTAGTTCTGCGCTTCGTAATAGGATACAAAAGCTTTCTTTTGCTGCCTTCGACTTCTTCTCTCTAATCCTTCTACCTCATCATCTCACTACTTACCTACTACAACACACTTCCTACACACCATCACAACAACAATCACAATGCAATACGCATACAACACCCCCGCCGAGCGCACAAAGTTTATCATGATGCGTTTCGGCGACCACATCTACTGGGGACAAGTCTCCTCAAGCCTGAAACAGGGCGATGAGGTCTACAACGCGCTCCGCGCCACCTTCTCCGGGGTTCTTGAACCCACTCAAGCCATCATCATCTGGCACCCTGAGCGCGATGAGAAAGTCCGTCTGGACTACCACCACCTTGTCGAGGGCCCGACATACCGCATCGAAGCCACCTTTGGTGGGCGTCAACAAGGTTCCGGTGCCGAGGCTTCTGGCGGCTACAAGAAGGCGCAGAAGTACCTCGAGGCCATTCGCAAGCATTGGGAGTTGGGTGACGACAGCGAGATCTTGCCTGCGTGGATCGCGCCTCGCGACGGTGAAGGCAATTTGGTCGCTCCATGCGATTGGCCTGCACGCTTTGCCGGTGACGTGCGCAAGCTGAGCGGCCACAGCGTTGGCAGATACCAGGTCGCGATGGGATATCTGGTCGCAGCCGTGGAGGCTAGGCGTGAGCGAGGAGAATACCCGGGCGAAGTGACGAGCGGCGACTGCAAGACCGCGATGGCGCGGATGATGACAGGCACCGCCGACCAGGCGTACGCCCAGCTACCAGAGGAGATAGCGGCTACACAGATGTTCGCGGGTGGCCTGGCGGAGGCGGCACAGCAGGCCCTGGAGGAGATAGAGGGCGAGGGAGCGGCGGTCGGGTCTGGGTACGAGGAGGGTGGCAGATTCAACATCGGTACACACTTCCGATCTGCTTGAGCATTGGGGACGGAGGGCTATACATGTAGTTGCTGATTTTGCTTTCTGAACGTGATCACAATATGAACGTTCCTCATTCCAAGCCCAAATGTCCTGTCTCCTCCGCAAGATCACGAACACTTTTCAAGGCCTTACAGATACCCTTGTGAATCGGCCAGTCCCGCTTCTGATGCTCAACGCTACAGTACCTCGCGGACTTACACGCGGAACATGGCTTTAGCCCCTCAGACTTGCCACATACCTCGCAGCTACGCGCCATACTGGGGCCCTTACAAAACATCTTGTGATTCGGCCAGTCCCGCTCCTCATGCTCAGCACTGCAATACATCGCCCACTTAATTCCACACTTCGAACATGGCCTTGACCCCTCGAACTTGCCACACACCTTGCAGGCGTGCTCTGCATCATACTTCATTTGGTCCGCTCTGAAGACTTTCATCAGTTCGCTAGCCCCATCTACACATTTCTTTGTACCACAAGTTGGCACGATGCCAATGACAACAAACGGTTCCGGCGTGTGTAGTTGAGAGACGCAGAAAGTCTTTCCGTATCTTGTCGAGGCTTCTTTGCAGACTAAGCATTTTGGACCACTCCTTGTGTTGAACTCGTTCTGGTGTTCTGCGATGATTGGAGGCATGGCTTCTCCGAACTCGCGCTCGTATGTTGGGGGTGGGCTCGAGTGCATTTCCGGGGGAATAATGAGAGATGCGGGGATCTCGCAGTAAAAGTCCCAGGGCTTCACTTCTTGGAAGCTTAGAGGCGTGCAGTGCATACGTACGGTGCGCATTCTTGGTTTGGGTTGTGCTGTGCTCTTTGGCTTGTCTTTTCCCTGGCTCTGCTTGCTCGACGAGGCGCTGTTGCTTGGCTGACTAGGCCCAGATTGCTGTTTTCCTTTACTCGATTCAGCTTTGTTATTCTTTTGCTGCCCTGGAGCCGTGTTGGGAATGGATGTCAAGGTGCTTGATGTTCCGTTTTCTTCCTCGTCAAGGAGCTTCCAGGCCTGGCAGGTTTCCTCCAAGTACTCTCTCGCGAACTTCAGGTCTTCGCAAATACGCTTATGTTTCTTCCAATCAGCTTTCTGGTGCTCTCTACTGCAATATCTCGTCACCCTACATCTGGCACATCTCATTGCTCCGTCCTTCCGCCCGCAGTGGCAGGGAGTTCCGTTATCTATTTGGCTTTGGAGATAGGCCGTGGTCATTTGAATCATCGCATCGTGTGCTGCAATCGCTCTTGTCTTACAGGACCGGCTCCTGCAAGTGGCATAAACGTTTGTCGTGATTTGCGGGGCATCAAGATGTAGCAGGCACTCCGGCCTGAAAAGCAAATCGGTAGCCTTCGAGCCGCAAAACATACACGGATGTCCGGAAACTGTCTGTTTACACCGGAGCCGGTGCTTGGATTCGATATCCAAGAGTGTAGAACGAAGCTGAGCTTTGTATTCGGGCGTCTCTCGAACCTCCAATGGTGCCCCCAATAGGTTGGTGGGCACGCTCGCAGCGCCGTCCCAGGAGGGAATGTTCATGACACCTTCACTCCCCCGGTACTTGATTTTGAGTGAGATATTTTGAGTAGCCATGATTGAAGGTTTGAGGTGGATGAGGAGGTAAAGTGAAGCACATCAGAATTGAGAGGTTATGATCAACGCACTGACCAGCATTGACGCGCTTGCTAGCCACCCCTCATGTGCAGACCATTCTAGAAGGATCGCAACAGATCAATTGATCGGTCTCAATACAGAGACGATGTTGATGCTCTTTGACACAATCTTGACCGTGGCTGACGACATTAAATCCAGTATTTGAGACTGTGCACGCTCTACTACAGTCATCACTATCCAGGATGTGCTTCGCTTGGACATTCTTGAGCCTACCCTCAACCTCTCGCCCTAGCCTTCAATCTCAGCGTTCCACTATCCTCTTCCCCATTATCCTTCCTCAACTGTGTCTCAATCATCCTCCCAATATTTCCTCCACCCTGCATCACACCCCCTCTCAGCAGCTCTGTGATGACGCGTCCTCTAACGACCGTCTCTTCAACCACACCCTCGACATTCTCAGGCCCTATGCGCCCATACCAGATGCCCGAACCCTTCAATGCATTGCCCTCCAAACTGGGAGGTAGATACATGATGACATTGCCAGCATACTTGTGCCCACCAATATGACTTATCAAGCCTACATCCGCATCTATACCTCTCCGCTGAAACTCAGATCGAAACGAGGATTGTAATAAGGGCCCGAGAATACCACAGCGCTGATCGCGGCCACCGTGGCCGCATATCAGGATCGTGGGTTTGGTGATGCTTTCCGCCTTTGGCAATTCGGTCGCTTTCGACTCGTCGCGAAGGAGATGAGACTTTTGCTCAGCGGAGAGACCATCGTGCATGGAATGGAGATTCCGAGCCTTTATGTATGCGGTCGCGAAGTTGGAGAATGCTTCGGGGGTATGTGGGATATCCGGTATGCGTTTGAAGCTCGGGAATAGCAATGCCGTTGTCGCGCCTGCCTTTTCACTTTTCGGTAAAGAGGAAGCAGTGATGAGAACGTTCGTGAATGGCTACATGATGCGGCGACGTGTCAGCATTCCAAGTATCATAGAATGACCGTACTGGGAAACAGACCTACATCAAACCCAGGACCGCCTTTTCCAATCACACCTTTGAGCCCTTTTACAAACTCCCCGGTCTCGCCCTCCTCCTGCTCGATGTTGCTGACCCAGTCTTCCTTCCCGGTACAGAATATGACCTGTTCAGAGTAGGCCGCCATAGTGTTCAACAGTGGTGTCTTGCGATCAATGTCTAGATCGGGAGGCGTTGCTGCGCACTCGCAGCTCGGTGACGGACATGATTGCGTGTACGGTATCGCGGTCTGGAAGCGCGTCCGGGTCGTGGAGAATGAGCGAAAGGAGCGTGGTATAGCAGCCCGAGAGATTCGGGTGAAGGACATGTTGCGAAGTTGGCGTGCGAGATTCTTGGGGGCGATGTGGAAATTGTATGGGCGTTTCGGAAAGCATTCCGCGATGATGACGCGAAGTCGGGGTATTACAGTACACTAGCGCGGGCTCGGAGTTTGGTGCACACCGAAGGTCACAGGCAATTGAAGATTCAGAAGACGACATGTGGTCGGCAACATAATTGATGATTTCAGAGGGTCTCCTCAATATACATGTTTGAAGTGCACCTGACTTATCCCAGAATTAACCCCTATCATGTCTCCAGCCATGCATCCCGCCGCTCAACCGCCCGCTCAAAAGGCCACCGCCGCTGTCTCCACCACCGAAACCTCCAGGGCTACCAAAGCCACCGCTCCGACGATTACCACTACCACCGTTGAGTAGCTTGTCGAACTGCTCAATACTTACTATTGCACGTTGCTGTACGTCGTTGTCTGCATCGCGACCCAGTTGCTTAGCGCCTTCCTCGAAGCCCAGTTGGCGAAGGGTGATGGCACGTTCACGCGTAGCGGCTTCATCGGTATGATCTTCTATCCACACCAGATTATGCAGCATCCAGGACAATGCGACGCGGATGTCGCGACGAGGGTGAGTGAAAAGCTGAAGAACATGCTGCATGAGAGTGGTCTGCGAGATGAGAAGAGAGCGGTGCTGAGGCCGACCATTGGCGAGATGCACAAGAATATACACTGCGGCCAGAATGAGTTCGGGGGCGGGATAGGTAGCCCAATTTGGCTGTGCCGGGGTGTTTGTGGAAGAGGAAAAGGGTGTGCGGTGGCTAGTGCTTGGCCAGTAGCTTGGGGCTGTAGCACTGGGTTGAGCTTGTGACATCGTCTTTGGCCGGATCTTAGCATCGAGAATTTCGAAGAACCGACTGTGGCCAAAGGTCTTGAGCAGGTGGTCGATCATCTCACCGGAAGCTTTGTCTTCTGAAACAAAGTTCCGGATGAAGTCCAATGCTTGTTCTTGTATACGGATATCGTCGCGCTCGCCGTTAAGCCGGTTGTCCTGTTCGTCGTTCTTGATCTGTTGTAACCGGTCTCGGATGTTAGTTGCACTTGTGTACCGTGAACCAGGACGTTGATGCCGTCGCATAGACGGTATACTTTCGGTCATGGCGTCATCATCCTCTTCAGAAGACGGCTCTTCGTCCACATCCATATGGGGCTCGTCAACCGCATTGAGGATATCGACTTGCTCTCCTGCTGCGTTGGGTGTACCCATAGCTGGCTTGGATGGTTCTCCATTGAGTACTTGTACGAGCCAGCCAACACCGAGCTCCTCAAGGCATTGTATCTTCATGGCATGTGGTAAGCCTAGGCACAAGTGCTTGAGCGCCCAAAGGCTACCGAAACGAAGGTCGAAGTTTGCGGATCTACATTGTTCGCAGAGCGTTCCCAGTACTCCAGACTCGACGATCTCCTAGTAAATACATTAGCATGAAAAAAGGGCGCAATGAGCATCGTACTTACAGTTCGCATAGGTGACACATCGAGCACCAAGTTGGTGATGACCTCCGTAGCAGCAATCTGTACTTTGACGTTCGGATGCGTTAAGAGCTCGAAGATCGGCTGTGCAACTCCGTGATCGATCAAGCTGGTCCTCAGCACACTGACAGACCTGGAAAGCGACCGTATGACTTTACACGCAGCAATGAGCACCGAATCTGGGTTGCCGTCCTTCGCTGAAGAAGACGCGCCCTGCTCGTTGCTTTCACGGTAAGGAACCAAGGCTTCGATGATGTGCGTTGCAGCGCCCATCTCAATGACCATCTTTCTCAACGCATCTTGGTCTCCTGCTATCGCCGCCAGAGCCAGTAGCACACTCTCTCGATACCTGAAAGCGTGCAATACATCGGCGCTTAGTCCAGGTCTGCCCAGTGTGGAAGATGCAGGGTCAATATCTGGGTCTTTCACTTCGTGAGATGACGATCGTGGTTGCCAGAGAGGCTTTGAAGATGTAGCCGGCACATCGAACGACTTCTTGAGGATCTGAATAAGGGTCGGTAGGGTTCGATTATGGACGGCCGCTGTTTGAAGAGTCTT